TGCAATCGTCTCTTAATGACTTACATAGACTGTGCAACTGCTGCAGCGTGGCTCTTCCAATCACTCTCATTCTCATCTAAGAACAGCCATTGATTAGCTATGACTTCGTTCCACAGCAAGTGTAGCCGTGGAAACGAAACTGCTCCCAAAGTAAGCGAGATTACCAAATTTCTGATTCAGATGAGAGATTTTTCCAGATTTGGATCCTAATGATGTGGTTCTAGTGAAAACTGAGGAGAGCCCCGAAGCTGAACTGAATCGCTGGAATCTGCATTTGACGTATAGTTATAAGAAGAGAGTATACTTCTGATTTTGATTAGCAGATGGAAAAACAACAAATTTAGATACAAAAACTGTTCGAATACAGGAGAAGCGTCTAAGAAAATAAAATCAAACACGAAACAAAAACAAAGCAATCTGAAACCAAAAATAAAAAGACAGGTAAAAATAGCAATAAAAACGTAACAAAAAACCATAAAACACAAGTGTAACAATCAAACAAAAATATAACAAACAAACATAACCACAAAACCAAGTACAAACTCCACCTCTCGGCATCTCGACAATAGAAATAACCAGTCACTCAGACAACCTAACCCAATAACGACAACAACAAATAAGTTAACATCCAAATTTATTAAATAGAGACTTATATAGCATATCAACGTCGTAAACCAAACATTGAAAAAATGGTGAACCTTATAGCGAAGAAGATCAACAAATATCAGAAACTATAAGCAACAAAGAAGAGTTATTTTTCTTCAAAAAAAAAACAAAAAAAAAACAAAGAGGAGTTACAAATCTGAAAAAAAAAACCTACTAACTCGGAGAGGGTAAGGATGACATCAAAACCAGTAAATATTTTAGCAATTAGAAAGAACGAAGATATTATAGAAACTTAGAAAAGACGCAATGATAAGAGTACGCACTAACAACATAAACAAAGTAACTGAAATTCTCTTGATGACCTAAGTGCAGCGCAATCAAAGTTATATTTAGAACTCAATAGAAAGCTGTGGTTTGGTTTTTGTTTTAATATATAAAGAAACAAAGTAACTCGATGGGTTTAATATATAATTTTTACCTAATATGGTGAGGATTTTTTTTTTAAAAAAATAATATAAAACGAGTTATCAATTTAAAAAAACTCAGACTCTAGCCCAAAATAAATCTACAAATCTGCTAAATTAAATCGAACCGCAGAAATATTGGTATGTTAGTCGGTATATTAATTAATATAATTTTAATCATAATTTAACTTGAACTACGTCTCTTTTTGGCGAGGGATAGAAGAATAATTAACCATTTTGAAACTCAATGAGAAGTTTTGAAACTAAAAATTTACTTCGCTTACACTATATATATATATGATGTTAAAGATATACAAATGTCTATGTAAATAATAAGAAGACGACATGAGTCATTCGTTGAACAACGAGAATTTTACTGGAGCCATTGTGTTCACTTTTTGCCTACCAGCTAGATCTCTTAGTGAACTATATAATTCATCAAGGATCGGTTCTAGTGGGTAAGTCTACTTAACCATCATGAACAATTTTTTTTTTTATAATAAATGTTAAATTTATTCAAACTCGAAAAAACAACATTTTCTACATATATAAATGTGATCTGGTTAAATAAGAAACCAAAGTATGAGCTTAATTGTTTTCAGAAATCTTCAAATCTTTCAGTCCGGCAAAGATGCCTATCATCGCACCGTCTTGACGTAAACCAGCGCCGCAGACCTTCCTCATATCGACTATCTCCGAGCAATCATATAGCACTGAGTTGCTTTCGAACTCCCTTGTCAATGAATTTTATCAGCTTCGATGCAGGTGATGCATTGGACCCATATCTCCTATCATTCCTTTCTCTCCACAGCACATAGATTGTCATCTGGAAGAGGTACCTAACAAGAAAACTCTTGATTTGATTTTGTGATGTTTGTGAAACCAACCCAACAACAGAGAATCACTCTCAGGTGTATTCCTGCAGCAAAACTCCTCCCGCTACATTTTTCCACACTTGCTCTGAGTAAGAACATGTGAAAAACAATTGATTTTGAGTTTCAAGAGTATGATGGTTGCACAAGACACAAGCGACAGGGATATTAGGGCTCCATTTCTGCATTCGATCCCCCGTAGTGAGGCAATTTATAACCACAAGCCATGCCAAGAATCCATACTTTGGGCAGTGATGAGAAAACCAGATTCCTTTCGACCAAGGGACTTTCTGAGATGATAGTCTCAATTGATCGCGAGTGGTGCTGGTTCTAAAATTCGTCTTGTAGGTGTTATCTTTTGTATGCCAAAGGAACACATCCTCTGCAGCAGGACTGTAGCGCAATGATAAGTGGAGATTTTAACTCATTCTAACCTGTGTTTACTAATTGTTTTTGGAGTCTTTAGAGTATTTTTCAAGTGATTTCAGGTATCTAGGGAGCTTTAGGCGAGGATTGGAGCAGTTGAGGCTTTTGGTGCAAAAAGGAGCTAAACCTGAGCAATAGAGGCCAATTTACACGAAGTTAGATCATTCTTGGTCGGAAGCACCTGCTCCCGATTTCACCCTTTCGTGGAGCACCTGCTCCAACCACCTAGAGAAAAATAAAGAAAACGATCTTTACCTAATTATGGGACCAGAAAGAGAATAAAAAGTCCAGAGCCGCCTCAAAAACAGAACCACGTTTTTACAGACTTTCTTCTACGCTTTTTTTTTTAATTTTCTATACTTGAGAATTTTTGCTTGTAAGCTTTTGGGAGAGGAATTCCTGCTACACTTTGAGAAGAATTCTGAACCCTTTTATCACTTCTGTGATTTATTTGAATTCCTTTTCATTTGTTGCTGTGTTTTTCTCCATGTTTGAGTAGATCTCTTAGCTAGATAACAGGTTTTCAAAGGATTTCATGAGTTAGAGAATTAGATGCAAATAAGGCTAAAATCGATTGTCTTCACCTTTGTTAAACTTAACGCTTAGGTTGAACTGGTCACTCAATTTTCGATCTTAGGTTAATTTATTCATCAAAAGTGCAATAGGTTGCTAGAATAAACATTGGTGAGCGATTTGTCCTTAGCCAACGACAGTTGATGTTAAGGCAAATCGTGAACAGATCAAACATGCTTGTTAATGCTTGTCTGCAATTTTCTAGGTTCAAACGACAGTTTATAATTTATGTTGTTAGACAAAGTTATTGATACCATGACAGTGGATCGGTATATGTTTATGTTTTAGTTTGAGACCTGCATTCAAATTGTGTCCTGAATAGCCATCTGATTCTCATCTCTGAAACTCCTGCAAATTTCCTTGGTCTAGTGCTTGTTTTAATTCGAATTTAACCCGTCTTTAGTTTGCTTTTACTTGTCGTTACAGTCACAAACAAATCATCTTTCGTCTTAGCTTTATTTTCAGTCCTCGTAGAGTCATAGAGTAACACTGGTCATCTGGATTTCGAATCATTTATATTACAATCTCAAAACTGTTCTATTGCAGTAGAAACTATGAGATACATTCAGTTGGAATCAATTTTTGACGCCATTGCGACGGGGACCAATTCGTTACCTCTGATTCTTGGTTTGAAATTCAGAATAAGACCTTCCTAACTTTTACTCTTTTTCTCTTGTCTGCGTGTGTATCAGGTGTACGTCAAACATATCCACAAGAAGCAACTACACCAAAGATCTTGTTTCTTTGTCAAACACCGAGCTAGCAAGAGTCGAGCGAGAAAACAGACGTCAAAGGCCTATTCAAGCCAACATGGGCAATCAGGGAAACAACAACATGGTAGATGAGATGCAGCAGCTTCGACAACAATTGGAGCAGTTGCAAAAAGCTCAGCAAGACAGGGATCAGCAACAGTCTGCCATTTGAGATAAGGACAACCCGCATGCTTTTTACCAAAGCAGAGGTGCGATTGCTCCTCTGGCGATTAATAGGCAAGACTTTAAGATCAAACCTCAGCTGATCTCATTGGTAAAGCAGCATCTTTTCCATGGGCTTCCTGCTGAAATTCCGATGGACCACATCAAGAATTTTGAGGAGATTTGCAGTACGACTGGATCAAATGGGATACCAAGCGATTTTCTGAAGTGCAAGATTTTTCCATTCTCACTTGGATAAAACTTCGCGCTGGTTGAAGTCATTGCCAGCTGGGTCATTGATTACTTGGATAGAGTGCAGATCAGCGTTTTTAGACCACTTCTACACTAAGTCCAAAACTGCAGCTATGAGGAACAAGATCTCGTCGTTCAGATAGCAACCTGGTGAAGCTTTCTGCGAAGCTTGGGAAATGTACAAGGAGTACTGAAGAGAGTGCCCTCACCATGGATTCTCTGATGAGTAGATTCTGGCAACCTTTTATGATAGTGTCAACTGGCATTACAGGAATGCTTTGAATGCAGCTAGCAATGGCGATTTCATGACTAAGTCCAAAGCAGGTGCTTATGAGTTGATTGAGAACTTAGCTGCAAGCTCCAGCAACAAATCCCAAGAGTATGACAGGTCTAGCAAAGCAGTTCATAGTGTGGAGTTGAACAAGATCGATGAGTTTACAGCAAAGGTGAATCTGCTGTTGAAAGAGAACCAGGAATCTGTGCATTTTGCTGATGAGATTGGTGATACACCTCTTGCTCAAAAGTTTGTAGAAGCAGGGGATGATGATCAGATGGAAGTGAACTTTGTGAATGGACAAGGGTATGTGCAGAATCGCAGCTTAAACAACTTCAGGAACCACCCGAATATGTCCTACAGGACCAACAATGTTGAGAACCCCCATGATCAGGTCTATCCGCAGCAAGGAGTGCAGAATCAGTCAGGATTTCAGAAGAACTTCTCCAGCAACTTCCAAGGGAAGCAGTTCATCACCAATCAGAATCGGTTTCAAGGTGAAAATCAGTAGAAGTTGCCTTTCACAAGTCTGCATCCTTCTTCGAGTTCCCCAAATAACTCGCAGAATGAGCTGAAAAACTTGATGTAACAACTGCTGGTTAATCAGCAAAAGTCTTCCATGGAGATTAATGCCAAAGTGGACACCATGTACAATGATTTGAATGGCAAGTATGAGGCAGTATGGACTCATGTGAAGAAGCTGGATGTTCAGGTAGCTCAGACTGCTGAATCTGTGAAGAGATCACCTGGAAATCTCCCTGGAAAAGGTGAAAACCCCATAAATGAGTTTGTGAATGCTATTGAGCTGAGAAGTGGGAAGACACTGCATGCTGCACCAACAATCGTTGTCTCAGAAAGGAGGAAGGAAAAGGTCATGGAGCAACTGCTCCAAGAAGGAGCACCAACTCATGGCGTAAAAAAGACGATAGAGCATACTTCCTCGACTAGAGCACCTGCTCCTTACGTAGAAGAGACGATGGAGCACCCTGGACCCTCAACAGATCACCTGCTCCGGCCAACTGCTCCAGCAAATCTTCCTGTACGAGTTTATACGCCTAAGGTACCTTACCCTGTTCCACCAAAAAAAGTCTCGCAAGGACTTAGAAGAGGCAAAGTAAGCTGCCTTTAGCTGATGGTGTTCAGATGATACAAGCCCTTAAGCGATATATGAAGGGGTTAGTTTCTGAAAAAGTTGTTGAGGAAGAGAGTGTCATGATGGTCTCGAAGGAGTGCAGTGCTGTGTTGCAGAACAAGATGCTGAAGAAGAGAAGTGATCCAGGAATATTTGTTCTCTCAGTTAGGATTGGTAATGTGCTGTTTGCAAGGTCTCTCTGCGATCTTGGTTCAAGTGTGAATCTGATGCCTTACTCTGTGGCTAAGCGATTGGATTACACCAGATTCAAACCGAAAAAAAATTCGCTGGTATATGCAGACAGATCAACCAAATTTCCGGTTGGTATACTTGAGGATTTGCATGTTCAGATAGGCGATACACTCATTCCAGCAGATTTTGTGGTTCTAGAGCTTGATGAGGAACCCAAGGAACCTCTGATTTTGGGTCGATCCTTCTTGTGCACAGCTGGTGCAATCATTGACGTTAAAGGAGGGGTGATAGATCTCTAGCTGGGAGATATGATGGTGTGATTTTAAATGAACAAACTCCTCAAGAAACCAATGCTGGATGGGCAGACATTTGTTATTGATGATTGTTCAGACATTGCTGAAGAGGTTGCTGAAGAGGTTTTAGCCATTGATCCTTTGGAAGTTGCCTCACAAAATCCAAAGAAAAACATGGGTATCTGAGTGAGGAAACTGATGATTTTGCAAGGATGCTGGATGCAAGCATGAGGATGCAGAGGCTGGTGGTGTACATGAGCTTGGGAGACAAGGAGAGCCTAATTGTAGAAAACGCTGATGGAGAACCTGCTCCCGATTCTGGAGCACTTGCTCGCGACGGATCAATTCATGGTCCTTGGAGCGAATTGAGAGCTATGAAGCTCGAGCTCAAACCCCTTCCAGCGGGGCTCAAGTACGCATTTCTAGGACCCAATTCGACATACCTTGTGATGGTGAACTCTGAATTGAACAATGTAGAGATTGCTTTGCTTCTTTGTGAACTTAGAAAGTACATAAAAACTTTAGGATATTCACTAGATGACATTCCAAGGATTTCTCCAGATCTTTGCATGTATAGAATACATCTAGAAGATGAATCGATGACTTCTGTAGAACATCAGAGGAGGTTAAACCCGAATCTACAAGATGTTGTTAAGAAGGAGATAATGAAACTTCTAGAAGCTGGTGTGATTTATGCAGTTTCAGACAGTAATTGGGTTAGTCAGGTTCATGTAGTTCATAAGAAAAGTGGCATTACTGTGATAAAAATGATAGGAATGAATTGATACCAACTATAACTGTTACTGGGCATCGAATGTGCATAGATTACCGGAAATTGAATGCTGCAACTCGCAAAGATCATTTCCCTTTGCCATTTATTAATTAGGTGCTTGAAAGATTGGTTAACCATCCTTACTACTGCTTTTTAGATGGTTATTCAGGTTTCTTTCAGATCCCAATCCACCTAGACGACCAGGAGAAGACGACATTCATATGTCCTTATGGCACTTTTGCATACCGCAGGATGCCATTTGGCTTGTGCAATGCCCCGGCGACTTTCCAATGCTGCATGATGTCGATTTTTATTGATCTGATTGAGGACATAATAGAAGTTTTCATGGACGATTTTTCTGTCTATGGAAACTTCTTTTCTGTCTGTTTGTCTAATTTGTGCAGGGTCTTGCAGCGGTGTGAGGAGAAGCATCTGGTGCTTAACTGGGAGATATGCCATTTCATCATGAGAGATGAGATCGTGATGGGACACAATCTCAGAGAAAGAGATCGAAGTAGACAGGACAAAGATCGAGGTGATGATGAGTCTGCAACCACCAACATCAGTCAAAGGGGTTCCCAGTTTTCTGGATCATGCTGGTTTTTACAGACGCTTCATCAAAGACTTCTCGAAGATTGCTAGACCTCTGACGCAGCTGCTGTGCAAAGATGTGAAATTCGAGTTCGATGATGCATGTTTGGAGGCATTTCATACGATCAAATGAGCTTTGGTTAGCGCTCCTATTGTCCAGCCACCAGATTGGAAACTACCTTTTGAGGTCATGACCGATGCTAGTGAATATGCAGTGGGAGCAGTGTTAGGTCAGAGAAAAGAAAATAAGCTCCATGTTATCTATTATGCCAGCCAAACACTCGACGAAGCTCAGTGCAGATATGCCACAACTGAGAAAGAGCTTTTAGCAGTAGTTTATGCCTTTGAAAAATTCAGGTCTTACCTTGTTGGATCGAAGGTTGTGGTCCACACTGATCATGCTGTGCTGAAGTATCTCTTGACGAAGAAGGATACCAAGCCAAGGTTCCTTAGATGGATCCTTTTGTTGCAGGAATTTTATTTGGAGATCAAAGACAAAAAGGGGATCAAGAATGGTGTTGCAGATCACCTTTCAAGGCTGAAGATTGATGATGAAATTCCACTAGATGACAGCCTCTTGGATGAACAAGTCTACGCCATTGATGTTTCTGGGTTCGACGAGCACCTGCTCTGACGAATTTTTGCAACTCAGTTGAAGTAACTCGGCATTCTGGTTTCCCTTGGTTTGGAGAAATTGCAAATTACCTTGCTGCACAGCAGGAACCTGCAGATTTCGTGGGAAACAACTAAAGGGCGTGAGGCACTAATTTTGGGATGAGCCTTACTTATACAGGCATTGCTCGGATGGAATCTTCAGGAGATGTGTAGCTGATGAGGAGATACCTGGGATCTTATTTCATTACCATGGTTCACCTTATGCTGGTCACTTTTCCACTTTAAAAACTGTGTCAAAGTTTCTCCAGGCTGGGTATTGGTGGCCTACTATGTTCCGAGATGAGCAGAGATTCATATCCAGGTGTGACACATGCCAGAGGCAAGGGAACATAAGCAGGAGAAATGAGATGCCGCAGAACTTCATTCTGGAAGTGGAGATTTTTTATGTCTGGGGTATCGACTTGGGGACATTTCCATCATCTTATGGCAATGAGTATATTCTGGTGGCAGTTGATTATGTGTCAAAATTGGTCGAAGCTCTGGCTAGCCTTACAAATGACGCAAATGTGGTTTTGAAGATGTTCAAATCTGTCATATTCCCAAGGTTTGGTGTGCCTCGATTTGTGATTAGCGATAGAGGTTCTCACTTCATCAACAAAGTTTTTGAGAACTTGTTGAAGAAGAATGGTGTAAAGCACAAGGTGGCGACCCCATACCATCCTCAGACAAGTGGACAGGTTGAGATATCCAACAAGGAGATCAAAAACATTCTGCAGAAAACTGTAAGCACCACAAGGAAGGATTGGTCAGTGAAGCTTGATGATACTCTTTGGACGTATAGGACAGCTTACAAGACACTTTTGGGAATTACACCATTTCACTTGGTGTATGGAAAAGCATGTCATCTCCTAGTAGAACTCGAGTACAAAGCTGCTTGGGCAGTGAAGTTGCTGAATTGTGATGCTAGAAGTGCTCATGAGAGGAGAGTGATGCAGCTGCACGAGTTGGAGGAGATTAGGCACTTGGCCTATGAGAACTCAAAAATTTACAAGGAGAGAACCAAAGCTTTCTATGACAAGAGGATCCTCAACAGGAATTTTGCACCAAACGATCAGGTACTGCTGTTTAATTCTTGATTGAAGCTTTTTCCTGGAAAGCTGAGATCAAGGTGATCTGGACCTTTCATCATAGAGGTTCGACCATATGGAGGTGTAGTGTTGCTGGATACTAAAGGAGACGATTTCGTTGTCAATGGACAGAGGTTGAAGCCATACTTTGCTGGTCCAAATGTCGCAGAGGATGAATCACTCACCTTAAGCGATCCTCCTCAAGCCTAAATGGTTTTCCAAGTCAAGCTAGTGACTTAAAACAAGCACTTGGTGGGATGCAACCCACTGGTAAGAGTCTCTAACTTTGTGTATTTCATTTCTTAGCTACTAACTTTGTTTTAGGTTCTTTGTTTTTCAAAAAGATAAAAAAAAAGAAAACAGGTAGGAAGTTTTTTATCGTGGAAAAGAAGATGTGAGGAAGAAGACGGAAGAGCACCCAACCGAAGCACCTGCTCCGTCTGCTGGGTTGGCTGCTCGAGGCGTGAATTTGACAAAGGAGCACTCCCCCCCCCCCTCTGTCGGAGCACCTGCTCCACGGGGTGCTCCAGACGAAAAAATGAGGAAGGAGCAATCCAAGAAAAACCGGAGCACCTGCTCCGGCACCTTATCTAGATGAAGAAAAGATGAGAGAGCACCCTACTCTATTCCGGAGCACCTGCTCCGCCAGGGTGCTCTACATGTGCGAATCAGGTAAGTTTTCTGGGCACTTCTCTAGCTTATTTTCACACCAGGGACGGTGTGAAGTAAGTCCGGGAGAGGGTCGTGTCTCTTGTACTTCTTTCTTTTGCTTTCTTTCTTTCAGTACTTTCTTTGAGTCAGTTTTTAATTTGTTTCTATGAGTCATTTTGTTTCTTTGAGTCAGTTTTTGTTAGATGAGTCAAGTCAAAACTTGCGGGAACTAGGACTAAATCTGTGATGAGTTTAGACCATTTGTGAATTTTTACCATGTTCTTTTTAGTGACCATTGTTGCATAATCAGTCTAGATCCGACTAATGGAAAATCCAAGGGCTGACCAGCAGACTAGAGGCGTCCATGTTTCTGACAAAATCCATTGATCTGAGCTCATTTCTGAGCTCTTCCTTTTACCTCATCGATGTGACTGGTGTTCATAGAGCTTGACTCCTTGTTCATACTTGACAAATGGAAGTCTGTGTGAGATCTGGATATGGTACTTCTCTCTCTTATGCTTAGTAAAAAATTAGAAGGGAAAAGGCAGAAAATATTGAAATGATTTTCTTTTAAGAAGTAAAGGGTTAGAAAAATTTCCACGCAGGATCCCATTATTTTGCTTCTAAAAAGGAATGATCACACAAAAGGATAGAAGCGAGGGGTAGGAAAATTTCCTATGACCCCATTATTCGCCTACACCTTTGACATGTAATGAGGGAACAAACCGGGGATTCGGTGGCTATCACCATCAGTACTCGCGTCTTTGAACCTTGTTATATATGCCTAAAAAAAGAATGAGAAAAGAATAAGTCTGGAGGAGAGAAAAAGTACCGAGATTGTATGGCTGATTTGTCAAAGTATAGTACGGGAAAGAGTCTAAAAGGCCCTTGGCATCGGTTTCATCAGTGAGACCCAGCGATGATGGGATATGGATAATATCATGAAATTATGGATCTAATCCGGGAAGCTGCAATGTCTGCGGAGAAGTACATGGAGGTTCGATTTGGATTGATGTAACAACAGGTCGTCCGCATATTATGGTCAAATTTACGGTTTTCTGAGTTTTTGCGAGTTCCCACCATAGTCCAATCATTTTTTCTGAAAATAGATTCTAGTTTGTTTGAGGACAAACAAAGATCTAAGTCCAGGGGAGTTGATAAGTGGAGATTTTGACTCATTCTAAAAAGTCTAGAGCCGCCTCAAAAACAGAACCACGTTTTTACAGACTTTCTTCTACGCTTTCTTTTTACAATTTTCTAGACTTGAGAGTTTTTGCTTGTAAGCTTTTGGGAGAAGAATTCCTGATACACTTTAAGAAGAATTCTGAACCCCCTTATCACTTCTGCGATTTAATTCATGAATTCCTTTTCATCTGTTGCTCTGTTTCTTTTCTCCATGTCTGAGTAGATCTCTTAGCTAGATTAAGGTTTTTCAAAGGATTTCATTAGTTAGAGAATTAGATGCAAATAGGGCTAAAATCGATTGTCTTCACCTCTGTTAAACTTAACGCTTAGGTTGAACTGGCCACTCAATTTTCGATCTTAGGTTAATCTATTCATCAAAAGTGTAATAGGTTGCTAGAATAAACATTGTTGAGCGATTTGTCCTTAGCTAACAACAGTTGATGTTAAGGCAAATCGTGAACAGATCAAACCTGCTTGTTAATGCTTGTCTGCAATTTTCTAGGTTCAAACGACCGTTTAGAATTTAGGTTGTTAGACAAAGTTATCGATGCCACGACTGTGGGTCGATATACGTTTATGTTTGAGTCGAGACCTGCATTCAAATTGTGCCCTGAATAGCCATCTGATTCTCATCTCTGAAACAACTGCGAATTTCCTTGTTCTAGTGCTTGTTTTAATTCGAATTAACCGTCTTTTGTTTGCTTTTACTTGTCGTTAAAGTCACAAACAAATCATCTTTCGTCCTAGCTTTATTTTCAGTCCTCGTAGAGTCATAGAGTAACACTGGTCCTCTGGATTTCGAATCTTTTATATTACAAACTCAAAGCTGTTCTATTGCAGTAGAAACTAGGAGATACATCCAGTTGGAATCACGCAGCTTTACTTGATCGATTTCCTCTTCCACCTTGTTTAAAAGTTCCACCCGATGTCTTCTCCTTTGGTGAGTTACAATAACCTCTTCAACTGTGGAGTCTTTGCTTATTCTCAGGTCAATAATGCCTCGGGAACTTATTAGAGTGAACAGATTTCTCATACCAGACCATCGATCATGCCAAAACATTGTATTACGACCATTTCCGATCTCAACTTTAAGAACAGAAGCAGTTTGTGATCTGCTTTTTAAAATCTGCTTCCACATCCAAGACCCAAGACAATAATTTGCAGTATCCGGGATTAACCAAATCGAGGAATGTCGCATATGATTCATATGACACCAACGAACCCACACAAAATTCTTAGCGGTAAGAATCCTCCAAAGCAACTTTAGCACACTGACATCATTAGCGATTATGCCTACTTTTAGGCTCAGTATACAGTTTTGACTTGCTGGTTTTCTGATCTAAACCGATTCCTGAGAATTACCATGAGGATATTGCTAGACCCTGTACTGAGGATTTAAGTATTGAACAAGCTCTGTGTTTTCTAACTATAACAGTGTCATTCAGTAAATGACTTGGATACAATCTTTCTATCAATTCATGTATTAGAGTTAATGCTAGTGATATTGGTAAAAATATATATAAGTTTGAGGCAGCAAACTTTAGGACACATCAAAAAATTTTGTGTTATTTATCTACTTGAAAGTCTCTTCTTGATATCAATTATCAAAATATAGAATCTGTTAGGCAATGGTGTATGTATAGACTTTGTATCATTTGATATTTTGATGAGATCTCTTAAATAATAATGTTGCATTTTGGACAACCGATAAAAAAAAAAAGAATGGCTTGATGGAATTCATTTGATGAAAAATATAAAGATTTAAGAACTTGTAGAACAGATGAAAAGTTTGATGGTAATTGACAAGAGTCATGATAATTGCTTTATGGAATTGCAAACAATTGAAAAGCCAAAAAAAGAGCAAGTGACAAAGCAAACATAATCTCTGTATGTGAAAATTTGGTTGGCCGCTCTATTTGCAGGAAAGGAAGGAAAAACCAGTGGTGGATCTGCAAACAAATGATGATGTTATTGCACTTGAAGCCGGGTTGAGAAGAAAGAGACCCAAGGTTAAAAAAAAAAAATATATACAAATTTACATATTTCATGAAGTCAAAATTTTGGTGGCATAATGAATATGTGATCTGTTCAAAATTTAATCTCTAGAACTACTCTGCAAGAGCACAGATATGCAATTGTAGTATAATGGGAGTATACTAGAGATTTGCTCAATAAACTAAATAGACTTGAATTAAGCTAAGTCAAAACGATGAAATTGAAAGTAGGATGGTAATTACAACGGTTTATAAATTCGATGGGAAAAGATAGGTTCATGGTGTTTCTCAGAATTTCAGAGAATGCAGATAAATCAATTTATCAGGAGTCGGATTTTAGAGCGGTTCTTGAATTCAAATTATGAAATTATAATTAACCAATTTTCGTTGCGAGAATTATCTAAGTCTAAATCCTAGAATTCCAAATTTCTTTTCAAATCCTAAAGACTAAGCAAGCTTTAGAGAAAATTGCCGAATGAGTAGTTTTTAAGTTTTAAATCAGAGGAATAGAATGTTTTTGAAAACCATGGAAAGATATGGCTGTTTTAACTGTTTGTCTTCCCACAAGGGCCCTAAGGCAATTTTTATTTTCAAAATTGCCATTATCGAAGTAAAATAACTAAAAATTTCTGATTAAATCCGATTTGGTAAACCGATTACAAAAAATTTTAAACCAAAGTCCAATATCATAAACCGAAGTAAAACCAAATGTATAATTAATCGACACCTCAATATTTAAATTAAAAATTAAATTTGGGATCCACATCTGGACGTAGTCCATCTAGCATCTCCGGCAATCCATCTCCGATTAGCCATCCGATTGACCGTTGTAATGGCGCAGAAAATAAAAAAATCGTTAAGGCGCAACAACCCCGTGCCTCCGGTGTCGAGGCGAGTGCTCCGGAGTAACTCGAAGACAGCTCCGACAGACCACTCGCCCATACCGCCCATGCCACCGCGACGGAGTGACCGGGTTGAACATCCCATTCACGCGAGTCGTCTCAATCCACGCCGGCGGTGTAGATCCAAAGTACAATTCGCTCCTCTTCTTCTAGAATGGCCTGCTCAGAATTCTAAAAGTAAGTTACGTTTATGAACTTCGACCTTGTCGTAACAGTACTGGCGGTTTGTAACTCAAATTAAGATTGAAACGGGGCGCCTGATTGGCCTGATATATTTATTAGCGGTTATGAACTCTAGTACTTATGTCTATATATTGAATTCAAACGGTTGGATTACTCTTATATCATCTAGAAACAGTTACAGATTATACAGGAGCATACGAATAGGGTAGTTTTTCCAGATCTCTGTTCTCTCTTTCGAACTCCTTCGAACTCCTTTCCCTCAAACTTTTCTCCTGGTTTGCATTTTACTGTTTAT